GGGCAGCTGTAACTGTGCCCTGTCTGCCACGTAGGCTCTCCAGTGGCCTCAGCAAACCCTTAATCCAGAGTATCTCACTCCTCCTCCCACTCCCAAGTTCCAAACTATTGCTGCCTTTCTAAAGACAGGCAGTCCTGGGTGCGGTTGCTGTCTTGCTGCTGATGAAAGCTGTGGACCTCGCCAGCAGGTTTAGCTTTCTCAGGAATTTCAGCTTTCGCACTGCCTCTGCTGAGATTAAGTAATCCTAACAAGTCTGTGCTTCTAACTTTGTTCCCACCCATTAGCCTTTTGTCAGTGTAGGCTGTAAGGAACTTTCTCGTGTCTTGGTTTTATGCAGCACCTAGTGCAGCAAAGTCCCACCATTGGCTGAACCACATGGGGCTTTTGAAAAATAGAATATTAACAAACAAATAGAAATGAACAGCAAGCAGTAATACCTAGGAGAAAAGCACACAAGTGATTGACTTTCCTGTTTAAGGTGTGAAGAAACTTTGTGGCTATGATAAATTGATGAACTGTAAAACAACCCCCATAACATTTGAACCATCTGTTTTTATATTGTAGTCAATAACTTCTGTTAAAAAGCATCATCCTTTACGTTAAATTTTGAGTTAATTTTAATTAATGAAAGTGTTGGAGCTTTCAGCACATCCCTAAATAACTCATTCTAATAGGTGATTATTTGCATGATTAAAACTGTTGCCTTGTTCTGCTCATGTAAATCTGTCTAACTTAGGCTGTCAAACACAGGATCTTTGTTATGCTTGTTTCTAACAGCCTGAAGTTTAACAGAAATATCCTGAGTCTTAAGTCTGTGATAAAGTGCCAAAGAATGTAGCCTCTGGGTTTTATTAATTTTATTCAGTATTTATACAATGCATTTATACTTCCTGACTTCCAAGGCCGCTGTCAGGATCAGGCTCCCACTGTGCAAGCTTCCATACAAGCCCATGAGAGCCCCTGCTCCCCATCCTAAAGGTGTTTTAGGCCAGAGAACAGCATGGATACCTCACCATTCCCCATCTTCACCCTCTTCCTATGACTGGGCGCCACAGGGGACAACCCCCCATCATTTTATGTCACCATCCATTCTTCATCCTGCCTGTCTCTGTTTTGGTTTCAGCCATGGCAACACTGAAACGTGTCCCCTGGCTGCTGCGCTCAGGGTGAGTGTACGGGAACAAGGAAACCAGCATGTCTGGCACTAATCCGTAAGGGATTAGTGGTTGCTCCTTGTCCACCTTTTCTGTAAGGGCAGAAAGGCATGTTGAAGGGGAGCAGTGGAGCAGCATTGGAGGCCACGAGGCATTTTTGCCAGTATGAAGAGTGGCATAGGGAAAGCATGAAGATGCCTCCTCGCCATCCCAAATCTCCTAGTTTGAGCATAAAAATGATTTCACTCCTCCTTTTCTCCCTTGCTCAGCACTGGGCTCTTTTCCCAGATTGGATTTTTAAGCTAATTTTGAAGGATCTTTTTCTCCATGAGGCGACAAAGAGGCGGGAGGTGAGCTCTCTGACGTGCGCTGGCATGTGCACTGGGACTCTCCTCTTCCAAGCCAAATCTTAGCAGTGGGATCTCCAGTGAATTAAGCAGGTCTGCTCCAGTGAGACTGCTCTTGCTTGGGATTGCTTCATTCTTCCCTTTCTTCTCAGAAGAATGAGACGACAATGCATAGAACCACAGTCCTGCCCAGGGGTCACGGCAGGAGACAGGAGGTCAGGCCTGGAAAAATATTTAGGGTCAAGTATGCTTTGGATAGACTAGATGATTAGAGGGGTTTGGCATGTTGGGAGGAAGAAGCTATTTGTAGCAATTCCAGTGTTGGCCATGTGAACAGAGAGCCGGGGCTGGAGGCACAGTGTGGGAAAGCAGGCAGACAAGCCCAGCAGCTCCTTGCTGCTGCAGGGTTTCAATGCTGACATGTTTTTCAGGTTTGTTTCACACAAGCTTTTGGAGATGTGTTCTCGTCTTTGAAACACTTGTTTTGGGACTCGTGGGGAAGAAGAGGCCTGGTTATCTTCATCAGATCAATGAAAACCTCCTTTCATCTTCCTTTCCCCCTACTCTCCCTCATTTTTTTTCTCGTTTTCTCATCACAGAAGCAAAGATCTCTTCTCAGTTCTCTCTCATCTCTTCACTTGACACATCACATGACATCTCCTGGGTTTCCTGACACCTCTGCTTACTTGTTCCCCTCTTAACATTTCTTTAGTACCTCTTATTTTTAATGTAGACCCCTCAGCTCCAGTTTTTGCCCCAATCACCTCCTCTTTCTCTGTCAACCACACTTTCTAGATACTTGTGCTTTCTCCAGTCTCTGTCTTTAAGCTTTTTTAACCTATGTTCCTTATCTCTGCCATGCCTCGCAAATGCTGTGTGCCTGCCATCCATCATGCACAGACTTTCCTGTGACTGCCGTTCACACTTTTCTCACCTGTCCCTTTGACCCCATCACAAGCCTCTTCACATTCTCCAAGAGCTTCCTCTGTCTGGTTATATCAAGCATCAGGCACCAGTGATTCTTCACAGCCAGTCGTGGAGTTTGTGGCGTCAGTGCTGTGGTAGAGGCAGCCTCGGGGCCACACTGACAGGCCCCATCTCTCACAGCCCACTTCCAACCCCATGTACGTTCTCCTAGGGCCCTTCTTGTCTCACACGAACAGCCCTACGGGTGTTTTAGACCGTTCTATGATATCTGATCTTCGTACTCCCTTTTGCTCTGATGTCTGTGAAGGTGCCTGGTGGCAGATAACGGCGGGAGCACGGAGTTTTCGGAAGCTCTCATGTACTTCCTCTCACTGTTGTTTGGCTCCTCTACAGCCCTGGGCCGATGGGATAACCTTCCCAGGGCAAGGCAGTCCCGTGGCCTTTATCTGCCTGGCGCAGAGTCCCACGCCATGGTGGTGACACCCCATCGTTTTAGTAATAATCATGGTAACAAGAACAGAAGAACATGTAACAGTCCCATGCTTAAGCATCACGACAGCTTAAATTATAAAGAAACAACCCACACAAACACTGGCTTTTCTCCTCAAAAGGGGCTTAGCTTTGAGTGAAAATGGAAGCGGAGAGCAAAGGACTGTGGCTTCACGCCAGCTTTCCTGGGACATGAGAGCAGGGGCCGCTTCAGGCTGGGTGGAGGGCTGCCCACTTGCTGGTGAAGCCTCAGGAGGCAAGTTGGAGACATTGCAGGCTGGTGGCAGCCATGCCCGTCTTGACACACCTCCTGCTACTTTTCCCTCAGCACCACGCCTAACCCAGGGTAATGTGTTTCACTCATATTCAGTGAAATATTGTGGAGGAGGTTGCTGGACTGAAGTTCTGCTTGGGAGAAGGGCTTACAACACTCAGGAGAACATATTTCTAATGCTGCTGGAACAGTTTCAAGGCTGGGATAAGATCAGCATCTAGTTGTTCAGGTTTAGTTTCAATTCTTCATTTCCCAAGAGCCTTTTTACATGCAGGGAAATGGCATTTTTGAGCCTGTGTTGTAGAGCTGCTGTATTCAGGTCTGGTTGTGTCCATCAGCTTTCCTGAATGTGACTAATTCTTTCTGTCAGTGCTAGGTGACCAAGCATCTGTCTGAAAACAAAACAAGAGCACTCACCATGTTTCCTGCTGCTCCCTAGCCTGCCCAGGCTGCCGCAGGCTCCCCAGCTGAAAACATCCCATTAAAAGGTGTTGACGTATTTCCTTGCTTGGGACTTCTAGGAGTCATCCCTGTGTAAAGTCTTAGAGCTCAATCTATTTTTAGCTCTTTTACAGCTCCTTCTTTGACCCCGTCCAGTCATTTGAACTGCTCTCTGTCTCTTTTCTTCATTTGCTCTATAGACTACTCCTTCCCCAGTCTGCAGAGCCCTTGTGGGACTTTAGTTCTTGGAGGTTCCTGGAAATCACAGAAACAGAGTGAAACAGTGTTGTCTAAAAGGGACCTGCACCTTACTGGCACCCGGGGTTTGTTAAGGTGAGGGGAGGACGTTGTTGACAATACGTCTGATCACATCTAACTTCTTGGGTGGAAAATCATATATTTTTCTCGTCTCTGTGAAAATGCTCTGTAGTCTCCTCTCTCTCCCCACTGTTAAGAAGACATTAATTCCCCCAGTCACTGAAGCAATACAGCCTTTTGCCTAGTGGCAGCCTAGGTGGCATAAGCAGCTATTCCCTGAGCCGATGATCTGGAATGATCATCTCCGGTGATCATTTCCACAGAGGAGTGGTTTCATTCCCTTTAAGGAGGTTTATTTGACAGTTCTGTATATTTGGCTAAACATTCAGAGCTGTGTGCCGATTAGGAATGTGTGATTGATTAGGGATATGTGATGTATGCCTATATGTGAGAGAGAAAGAGCTAGGTAACTAGACATGTGATATGTTTCCATCTCTTTCTGTTTCCTGTTAATCTCTTCTGAGGATGGCTGAGGTGTGGTGTTAATGCTGTGCAGGAGGATTTTGGATGCCCTGTACAGCCTGTGCAAAGAAATGGGAGGAAAATGTTTTCCCCAGACTCCTGTGGAACCCGCGGCTGGCAGGAATAGCAGAGACAGAGGTGCCACAAAGGGGCATGATGGACTCTCAGCAGCGCTGCTCTCCTGCTCCCTCTCTCCCTTTTTCTCCGTCTCTCTTGGCCGCACTTGTGACTGGAGTGGGCAGCGAGCACCTTCCTCTGGCTGGTGGATCTGACCTTGCAGCATCCTCCTGGCAGCCCCGCGAAAACTTCTGGCTGCGTCAGCCGGAGCGTGCGGGGGCTCTTCTCGCA